TTTATTTGGAAAGCAAAACTCTAGCAAGTCCACCAGACCCACGAATACAAACACGGCACAAGGGTCAAGAAAGCAAAACCTTTTGATTCAAACAAAAAAGACTTCATTTCATTTTGATTCAGCCTTTCATAAACAAGTAAATGGTTTAAAGGTCAGTTTGAGGGTCTTTTGTTTAAAAAAATGTTTTTTATATTTCTAAATTTAGTTTCGCTTTATTTTTTTTAGATGAGTAAATAAACCTCCGTAGGTCTGTGCAGAGATGTGAGCCGTAGCTGCTCTACGCTACCACACAGCTAAAGTATAGCTGCTTTAAACTGACCTCGTCATCCTTAAACCAGGAGAGGCTCTCAGCCGTCAGCACAAACCAGTACTCCTTGGCTCCTCCTTTCATGATGCTGATGTTGTTGATGGTCAGCCAGCCCTTACGGATCACCTGCATGGGAGAGTCAGACAGGTAAACATCAAGTCTTCCTGTAAACATTTAATCACATGATGGCAAAACTCTGCTGTGCAGGAAATCATCAACGCACAGATAGCGATGAGATGAGATGTGTGTGTGTGTGTGTGTGTGTGTGTGTGTGGTGGTGGTGGTGGTGGGGGTGGGAGGGTCAGCCATGGTGTCTTTGTGACTCACTCAGAGCCGAGCATACAGGGAAAACGTCTCTGTTAGGCATGTTTAGTGATTCGCTCCCGGTGTTTAGTGGGTTCTGTGTTTAGCGTGCGTGCGTGTGTGCATGCGTGCGTGCGTGTGTACGTGCGTGCGTGTTAGATGTGTTAGCCCTACGCAAACAGCCCGTGGCTACAGTGCCAGGTGATTAATAGGTTAGATTACTGTCAGACTTGGACCGACTAAGGAGGTTACCCAAATCATCACAAAGCCTTTCTCTCACAGCCACTAATGCAGGAGCTGCCTTGTGGCTGAAAACAAATGGAGGCTTTTCTCTTGCATGACCCCTTTTTGTCCAAATGAAAAAAGGAAAAAAAAAACATTCAGTAAATGTGTTGGAGGCAACCCCCTGTAGTCTGTGGGTCTCTGTGGGTGGAGGCGGCGTTAGAACAGCAAACAGAGTCAACTCTTACAATCAGGCCCGACGCGGGAGGAGAGGAGGCCTGCAACAGGAGGGGGGGGGGGGGGGGGGGTTTAGACACCCTGCAGCACTAACAAAAAGAAAAGAAACAACTTTTCTAGTGCAACTCGAAGAAACAGTTTCTGCCCGAGTCGTTAGTAACCTGGACCCGTCAGAGTGGGAAATGAGAAAACGGTAGGTTTGAATGCAGCGGCGCTGGAGAGCACCACACGATGGACATAGGTGTAACTGCAGGCACACTACAAACCCAGGATGAGCAGTACTCACCCTTTAAGGGCAGCTGGGATTCTCACTAAGGGATGGGGATGAAATGCAAGGTGGCTCCTTGATGACACGGGGGTGGGGGTGGGGGGGGGTAAACAAAAGGAAATGTCTCAACGACGGAGGAAATGATGGCAACAACAACAAAATGAATCTTAAAGAAGGAAAAGGCAACCAGTGCCCAGTTCAATCATAATAGCATGCATGAGTAACAATAAATAATAAATAAAAGGAAATCTAAACACTAAAGGGGTCAAATGAAAAAAAAAAACAGTAAATCGGTGCAGAAGTTTAAAATGAAAGGAAAGTTTTTTCTCTTTCATTTCTGTGCTTGACTTTTCCTGTGGTGTGGGTGCAGCACGTCTCTAACCTGCGGTCAGCACTCACCTGATTCCCTGCTGAGCTCTGGCTCTTATTAGTCTGACTGCTCCTCTGCTGAGCGCTGCAGCAGGACAACAGGCAGGAGGCGGGGAGATGGAGAGACACAAGCTCTAATAAGTGTTCCCTTCTTAGTGTCAGAAAATGCAGCATGGCGAAGGAAAGCAACGAGGTCTTTTACTTAGCAAAGCCTATGAAGTCCTCGTGGTTGGTGTTTATGTAGGAGAGCTGGAGGTCGATCAGCAGCAGAACCTGAAAACAAACATTAATCAGTGTGGGCCACCAGCTGCTCCCTGTTCCTGTGTGTGTGCTGGTTCTGGACCAGTGTGTGTGTGTGTGTGATAAACAGTCGCAGTCCTGCAGGTGAAGGTAACTTCCTGAACAGACTCTGGTCAGAGAACTAGCCCTAACCCTCATTTTATAGCCATTTACAAGAATATATGGGTCTGCACTCGGCAGAGGGGAAGTGTCTTGCCCAAGGAGTCAACAGCAGAAGGACCAGCAACCCTCTGATTACGGGACGATCTGCTATCCAGTAACTATCATCAACAGCCGTTAGATCCAAACACAGTTGTGCCAAAATAACTTGTGATGCCGATCTGCCTGTTTGCTGTAAAGGTTTATTAAAGGGACTTTGCAGACTTTTGAATTTTTGTGCTCGTGATTGCCCCCTCAGGCCAAAAGTGTAATGGCGGCTTCAATAGTAGGCTCGTGCACGAGGCGCGCATGCTGTACGTGCACACTCCTTAACGAAAATAACAGCTGAGACAGTCCTGTGTGTGTGTGTGTGTGTGTGTGTGTGTGTGTGTGTGTGTGTGTGTGTGTGTGTGTGTGTGTGTGTGTGTGTGTGTGTGTGTGTGTGTGTGTGTGTGTGTGGCCAGGAGAACGCGCAGCTAACTAATTAAATAATGTGGTTCTGTACCTTTCTCTTCAGCACAGCCGACAAAGGTTTATGATGGGTCAGTCCTCCTGCATGCTCAGATCATTCCCTTCCCTTGCTTGAAAAATTGTTCCAAAATGAAAGTTGAACCCACATCTTTTTTATCTGTGAATTCAACGCCGTTCGGCGAGTCTCAAATAAAAATTTGGGCATCTTACTGTAAAAAATATACCATTAATGTAAAAAAGAAACTCTAAATAAACTATGTTCACATCCAGAATCAAACCCAGGACTTCTGCACAAAACTCTAACATCTTACTAGGTGAGCTAAAGCACCAGTGACGTCTTTTGTATCTGTAACATTTATATCCTTGATGACAGCTGAAACAACGTTCAAAGAACGGTTCGGAGCGAAAATGGCTATTTTGTTGCTAATTAGCAGGAAATATCTAGAAGAAAGTTCAACAGAAAGTAGCTAAGGGTCCTCAGAAATGTAGCTAGCTTTGTCACTAGGCGTTAGGAACAGCGACAAAGTGGCACTGCCTCTCTCTCTGCTGCTAAAGCTACGGATAGCAAATGCTACGGGCGATGCCTGAGCGTGAACGCGCATGAAGCAGCCTGCTCGACCCGAGCATCTCTCTTTTTCTGTGATTTTACAGAAAAACAGGCAATCACAGTAAAAATGCCAGGGCTCATTCTACAGGACCAGGGCATTGCAGGAGAATGTCTGAAGAAGACATTTATTATTTCTATACATGTTTTGGCTGTCAAACTTCCATAATGCCCCTTTAAATAATGTTTTCATGAACGAGGGATTTGCAGTTAGAAGAAAAGTGTCAGAGGGTGAAACTAAAACACTGTTGGTAAAAATAAAAGTTAATAATTGTATATTTATGTTGTTCACGTAACCCTTTACTGCCAAATGCATCATATCTGCTCCACATGCACCAAGGTTCATAGACCTCTGCCTCCCTAACAGGTTTTGTACGTTCCTCCAACTCTCAGGAATTGTGTAGTGATCTGGCTCCTTGTGGAGGATCTAAGTACTGGAGTTGTAGTTTGTTATTATTACTTTAATTGTTTTATTGATATTAGTCTACAAATTGTTCAAACTTAAAGACAATTTTCTGGTGGTTTCATGTTTGAGGGTCAGCTGACATCTAAATAACACCCCTCGTGAAAACCCCTGGTGGTGGTTGGAGTGCTCAGCAGCCTCGCCTCCATCAGTTCGCCCCAGGGCAGCTGTGGCTGGGATGTAGCTCATCACCACCAGTGTGTGAATGTGTGTATGCGTGGGTAAATGACTGGTTGTGTTGTAAAGTGCCTTGGGGGGTTGTAGAAACCTAGAAGGTGCTACATCAAATTCAGAAAGGGCTTCGGCCAGGATGTGAACTCTTGTCTCATCAGAGGCAGGTCTATCCAGACAAACCATAATTATCTCATCAGTCTGACCCAAACAAGTCCACGCCGAGAGCAGGATCTCCGGAACCTGAACAGAGACCCTGTTCTGAAGCTTCAGATGAAGCTTGTGGAGGTTGACTACAAATGTTTTGTTTCTCATCGATGACTCGTTCGGCTAATTACCGTGGTGACTAGATTACGCTGACCCGACCTTTAACCAGGTCAGCGTTTCGCTGCCAAAGTTGAAAGTGTGATGCTAAACCAACGTTAAGTAAAGGGTCAGTCTGCTACACTGAAACACCAACATGCACCTAAGGCTCTTAGCTCCGGCTTACCTGATCCTTGGCCCGGCTCTCTCTGTCTCGAATGTGAGAGGTCACAATTCGTTCGGTTTCCTCGCGAAGTCTCGGGAAGCATTCCAACTGAAAACACAAAAGAACGGTTCCAGTACGTTCTGTCGTGCCCCTCGGAGCCCAAAGGAGTCGGCGCTACCTTGTTGGAGCACTGGCGTACGGTGTTGATCAGCTCCTGGATCACCATGTCCACACACTTGATGCAAGGCTCCTTCAGCTTCACTACCTGCTTCTTCACAATGGCCTCAAAGGCCATGTCTGGGGTGAAGAGTCCAGTTCTGGATCAAAACAGAAGATCTAGACATAAATGAGGAGAGAGAGGTCCCGCCAACACATCATCCAGCCTGGGGCTGAGAATTATGGTTATGAAGACGTCAGCTCCACCTGTGACCACATTCCTCGCTCCGTTATTTATCTGGACTAAACACCATATGAGCATCTATGAAAATAAAGAACATTTAAAAGAATAAACCATTCAGCTCTATTCTGATTCCCTCTGATGGCGTCTGGTCAGTTACCAGAAATAAAAGAAATAAAAATTCAAGCTCTGCCTTTGAAGATTAATTCTTCAGCTAATCAAAATAAAATGGTCTAATTAACAACTTTTTATTTAAATATATTTTAATATTTAATCTTTAGGAAAGGCTTAAACATATTAATTTATTTATTTCCAACCTAAAAGCTTCGTGTTTACCTCCAACACAGGAAAGAAAAACAATGATCTGTGAACGGGGATGTTTTAGGGCGTCGCACCGACCTGATGCCGTGGATGTTCTTGATGGCATAACTGATCTCACGACGCATCTCCTTCTCATCACACTCCATCTGTAAACCAGGATCGGAGCAAAAAACAGACAAAAAGGTCTTTATTTGTTTTGTTTTTTCCAAAAACCATCAGAAAACAGCAAACAGGTGTTGTTCATTAAGCCAGATTAATGTTTGTCACAAGACTTATTTAATTTTAAAGATTACGATCATAATCATTTGGGATGAGCCGGATACTCGTTTCAGACGAGTATCCGGTACGGATAAAGCATTTTTGACGAGTACGAGCATGAAACGAGTAAAACTCGTAAATATCTGTAATCGTGCTGAAGGAAAATCCTCATTGGGTAACTGACTGTCTTCACGCTCTGTGATTGGCCAGTCACATAGAGCGCCCGCCCCTCCCTACACACAAAACTCTGCAGCCGGGAGCTCCCAGCTCAGTCCGCGTCCGGTCCATCCACACAGGCACGCACACACACACACACACACACACACACACACACACACACACACACACACACACACACACACACACACAGTAACGGATCTCTCTGTGCTTGCTTCAGTGTTCACGTTTCTTCAGTACTCCCTATGTTTTCTTCAGTTTGCTTCTTTTTAAAGTTACTTTAAAGTTATTTAAAGTTACTTTTTTTCGTAACGTACGTGGTGCATTTGACAAGACAGAGCTGAAAACGGCTCGTGCTGCGTCAGTCACTGCCTCCGCTCCGGTCGGGTTTTTTTTCCTCTCTCTCTCTCTCTCCTCTTCCTCAGGTTCCACTCCCTCTTTCCTATTCACTCTCTCTCTTTCTTTACATTTTTTAATCACAATTGTCTATTTTTTGCTCATTTTAGGTATATTTTAATCATTTTCTAAATAATTTTTTCTGTTTTACATGTTTTGTTTTTGTGAAGCGCCCCGTGATTTTTATCTTGAGAGGCGCTATAGAAAAGATCTTTTCTTCTCTCTCTCTCTTAATTCATGCACTTAAATATTAATGTTCTGATTTTATTGAAAAACTTGTTCTGTAATAGTTCCTTTACTATTGTGATCAAAAACATTTAATCTCAACTCTGAGGCTGCTCTGTAAATAGTTTTCAAATAAACAATACACATAGCAACTTCTGATCAGACTTAAAATAACATATTGATTTAAACCACACCCACTTCCGGATTAGGCCACGCCCACTCCAAGTGCAGATACAGATACAGTGGTGTACTCGCTCATCCCTAAAATCATATCTACTAAATATGTTTAACGTTATTTGGAAATAGACCCGCATTTTTTTCAGGGTTTTATTTTTCTGTCAAATTCCAAGAACGCAAAAAATAAAATGTTTATTTAAATGTGTATTTTTATTTTGGCAGCCACAGTTGTTGATCTATTGCAGCTAATTAACCCAACATCCATGTTTGTGGCCTGTGTACCTGGAGAAATCCCACACATGCGCAGATGAACACACTAACTCCACACCTGCATGTGGAGCTGGGATTTGAACCTGCAACCTTCTTGCTGCGAAGCACCAGCGCTACCAGCTGCACCCCCATGCAGATGAAGCGGCTCCACCAAGATTTTGACCCGCCAGTTAAATAAGGCAGAGATATAATTTTTTACACTTTTTTTTAATTGCTTAATATAAAAACTACTTTATTTAACAAAAGTGATTCTCGACTTGTTAATGCTGGCATTGTTCTGGATTATCTCTGATTCACCTTGACCAGCTCGAAGGGGAAGCGCTCGTGAAAGATGCGATTGATTTTTGCTCCTCCTGACAACTCCACCGTGTCCACCTGGTCCCCTGAACCCTCAATCCTCTTCTCAAAGTCTACAGAGAACTGCTGCACCATTCTGAAACACAAAATGCATTAACCAGCAATGAACAGGCGTCAGTGGGGGGGAAGGGGGGGGGGGGGGGGGACTGGCTGTGCATACTGACTGCAGCAGCTGCTTGGTCTTGCGGGACGGGTCATCGGGTCGGTATCCCCGGTATTCCTCTGCCTCTTTGTCCAGAGCCAACAGCTGGGCCTGCAGCTTGCTGCGGAAAGCTGGCAGGGTGTCCCGGATATGGTTGGTCAGTTGCTATGGAGACCCAAAACCAGCAAAATGGGACAAGCTCAACATATAATAAATACATTTTGAAATAAAATGAAATAAAACCGACGCAACGCTCAGAGAAAATATCTATGAACGTATGAATAATTAAGAGCAAAAGTGGAAAAGTGCTTTTCCACCTACAGACAGCCTTTTCCTTTTAACATCCACTCTGATGGAGCGGGGGTTAGTAGGCCGCCCTCATTAATTATGTAAAGTGCTCAGCGGGGAGGCCCTGAGAATAAATCCATCATCACCTGGTTGAGCACTTGCTGCAGGCGAGGGGTGCCCATTTTTTCAGCCATGTGTCTGTAGGCTGGGTGGGTCAAGAAGAACTTCCTCTCAGCGTCTAAAGCGGCCTTGATGTCCTTCTTTCCATCGATGTCCTTCTGACTGCGGTTGACCACGCCGATGTACCCTGGGAAAATAAATAAATAAACAACCAGCGTCCGTCTGAGCGAAGCAGCACGTGCGGCGGCAGAGGCCTGAGAAACATCATCACAAACACACACGCTGCAGAAACAAGGAAAAGCCTCCGGTGCTTCTAGTAAATAAAACTCCAAACCTCTTCGAAGTGGCAGCAGCTTGTTCTCCAGAACGTCTCGGGCATCGGTACCTTCATCCATCAGATCCAACTTGGTGATCACACCAATGGTCCTGAGACCTTCATCGAGGAGAATGAAGCAAAACCACAGGTTAGAAGACTTCCCCTTCAAGTAACAAATAAATGTTCAATAAATGATGCGCTCTACTCGTTGACCCCAGAAACGGTCGCAATCTCCATCTAGACGTTTAAAGGTGTGGAACGCTCATTTAATCAACACGTCTGCAGCGGTCTCGACAGGAATGAATGCCTTGTTAGTCGATCTCCGGGTAAAAAAAACGTCAGTGCGCCTGTTTGAGGAACTAGAATTGAGCCACATCAGAGCTGAGCTTCAGATGGCAGGATTTGAACTCTTATTTCCTGATCATCTTAGGTGTGTTCTTGCTGTGTCGTTCTAATTCCATGTTGTCGTTGTTTTTAAAACACAGAAACAGTTTTGTTTACCTGTTTTGTCGCTACGTTTCGCCTGCAGGCGAAACAGGTAAACAAAACTGTTTCTGTGTTTTAAAAACAACGACAACATGGTCTTATTTCCTGATATTTGGACATCTAGCCTCTCATTGGCTAACAGCAACACAACACTACCACTGACTCTGTTTGCTCTGCAAGTGTGATGTTTTACCTCCACAAATAAACCAAGCCTGGAGGAGTTCTGCTGTGTGGTGGCATTGCTAATGCTAACCCCAAAATTCCACTGTCTCCGCTCCGCCCCCGCTTTCTGCTGCCGCTCGCTTCGGAACTCAAATTATACTGGTACCCGCTCTACAACGGCTCCGCCCCGGTGCGGAGACCTGAGGTGGGCAAACAAGCATGCGCGGGATTTTCGAGATCTTGCGATACAGTCCGAGCAATAAACGCGGAAGTTAGATCCAAACACCCGTTGTGTGGGAGAAGCATCGAAATGAACAGTTTAATCTGCCCATCATTTGTGTTGAGAGATCAGCAGTGTTTGGATCAACAAAGTGTGACTACTTTGATAGTGGAAACTGTATTTATGGCTTACTTTTGTGCATTTAAAGTTCAGCCGCCATTGATAGTTGTTAAAAGTTGTTAAACCTGTGCATATGAAACAAAAAACGCCTTTTGTTTATCGATTTATTGTGAAAAAACAGAAGTTGTGCTTGCTCCTTTTCCTGTTGGGCGGTTGTGATTTCTGTCCATTTACTGCGGAGGTGCTCCGGCGTCCAGCAAAAATAGAATCAATCCTATTTTTGCCGGATGGCGGAACGGCGGGCGGCGCACCGCGTCGCACGGCCGCAGTAGTGGAACAGCTCTGATTGACTACAACGGGACCGTTTTTGCTGCGGAGTTCGTGGCGGAGTGGAGATAGTGGAATTTTGGGGTAAAGCCTGGGGCACACCGGAGGCAGACGCACCACGCCACGTCTTGCTGTCATTTTAAATAGAAGCAATTATAGTTGTTGAGAGTGGGCACATGGGGAGCGCCGCGCCGTGACCCAGAAGCACCGCGCTGAGGCGATGAAGACAGACACCAGTTCTGACTGAAGCGCCACGGCGTGGCTGTTTACAATGTTGTGGAGTAGTTTAGAACAGACTTTACGATGCGGAACGGCTTTACGGCACAAACTCAACCGCCGGCACAAACCCAGTCGCAGTTTTGATAACTTTAAAGTACTACTGATCTTAATATTTTAATAAATAGCGTACTTACCCACTGTTAATAAATTAGTCTCACAAACACAACGGCAAGTCTGACCACGTATAAACAATAGAGTCACTTCCTGTTCTCGTGTCCCACGTGATCTTGCGACTATCGCGCGACTTTCCAAGAAGTGCTCAGCGGCGCGTCATGTGTGACCACTTGACTTATCAAAATCTCGAGCGCGACGCAACACGTCTGCCTCCGGTGTGCCCCAGGCTTAATGGTTAGCTTCTACTAGCTGAAACCTTCTCTGCTGTCTCCTGGACACCAAACCAACAACAGCCGTTCGAGTTAAGATGGGTGAGTCCATGAATGTTGTGTAACAGTGTGACATAGATCTGTCAGGATTTTCTAATACTAGACGTTCACCGTCTATATCAGAAGCTAATGCAGGAGATTGGTGTAGGAGACTATTTTCATGTTCAGCCTGCATGAAAAACTGTGAGTGGTCGACTATAATCAGAAATGACCATTTAAACATGATTTTTCAGTGTTCCACACCTTTAAATGGAGGAGAAGTTGGGCTGCTCTGTGGGGGATGAGACTGTCCAGGAGTCTAGTCAGAAACTTTGGAGATATGAACTAGTCTCTGGTTCTTGTCTTGTTTCTGGTTCTGTAGTGAGGTCATCAGTGGCGACACCACCACACTACACCACCCACAGCTGTTCCCCTATCTGCAGCCAGTCCAGGGTCCTCTACATCCTGTCCAAAACGTTGACCCCATGATCCAATCTGCACCCACTACCCAGATGTTTTGTTTCCTCCAGGTTAAGCGCCTCGTGATTTTTATCTTGAGAGGCGCTATAGAAATGATATTTTCTTCTTCTTCTTCTTCTTCTTAAATCATCTGATCTGATAAACCAAAGCCAAACAGGAGTCATAATCAACTGTTTTCCGTCAGCTCCACTCTTACAAACCCTGGAAGGTTCGTTACAAAGAAGAATATTTAAACCAAACACAAATCTCTGTTTTTTGTCTATGTAACGGAACGAAATGACTGTTTTTTTCCCTCCTCTGACACAGAACTAGTCTGCATGAGATATGGTCTCAAGGTCTCACGCATTCCTTCTAACCTGCTTATTTTCAGCTCAACAGAAGAATGAAGAATGAACTCTTTTCTTTTAATTAATCAAAGAACTCTATTTTAATAAAGCTAATCCAACAAAGTGTTAGTCAATAAATAAAATGTGACCGATCTGTGAAATCTAAATATTAATTACTTTATTATAATCCTATAGAATATAATAAGTAATATGACTTTAAATGTTCCAACAGGACTGATTTCACGTAGCGTTAAAAGACATGACACATTACTTTCACTGATCCAATCAGAATCTGCCAGATCTGACGGAGGCGTGGTTTTGGTGGTGTTTGGTAAGTCTGTCAACTTTTCATTCGACCATAAACCAAAACATCCGAAGTATAAAACTATGCCCACGTCAGCTCTAACGCCAGTTCAAAGCCTTCCAGAGAAAGTGACGGAGTGGCCGATCCTGATCTAAACTCTTCAACCGAACGAACAACGACAAGCTGAAAAATATGTTGCTGTTCCAACAGCGGCAACAGAATAAAAGCTGAACCATCAAGACCCAGGCTTGGGTCTCACCAGACGCCAACAAACTGTCGTGACCCGGAAGTAACTCACAGACTGGACTGGTCGGAACCGCTGCTTTTCCTACCGGCTCAGTTCCAGAGAAGGTCAAGATAGACCTCGACATTCCTGATCTAAAGGGGACTTCCTGAAGGGTAGGTAGACCGGCAAATGGTGCCTCATGTGTTTATGAACCTCCTAACCTAAGCTTAATGCGACGACATCACCTTCAGTTCCCGTCAGAACTAATCGCTTCTTCGGATTTGCTGGTTCTGATTAACATCACACGTCATCCATTCACCGTCTCATCCGCATTAGTTGCACCATACATTTAGTGTTTGAAGTCAGTCTAGTTTAATTTGTTAGTAACACAATTCTTAACTTTTAAACTTGACTCTCTCTCTTCTGTTGTCTCTGAGTGAATACGAAGCTGTTATCTAATCCCTGCAATAAAAAGATCCAATCTTCTGCTTTAAATAACCTCACAGATCCGTAAGGTGGATTTCATATTTCCTATGGAGTCCTACGCCTTACGGCTCATTAAATAACACGTCATTTAAATCATTACATCTAGATTTATTAACAGTCACTTGTTTTGGTTTACACCAGACAATCCATAAAGTGTGTCATCGGAATCTGGGTCTCTGGCTCCACGCCGAGCTTTGATTTCCAACTTTCCTACATCTAAAGTGAAGTTTTGAACAAAAAACCTCTTCCTTGCTCACTTCTTTGGGTACACGAAGGGACTTTCAGCTCAAACCCTCAAAAACAAGTCAGTCGCTTCTCGTGGTGCGACCTTGGCCTAGAAATGAGTCATTCAGTCAGCCAGTCAGAGCTGCAGCCAGCTCAAATCAAGCTAACCTTCTCTGCAGCCGCCACCAGCAGCTCCAGCCCCAGCACCTCGGTCTTACCCTGCGGGTCGACGTCCTTGGCCAGCTTCAGGGCGTCCGAGTTGGCCAAGTCGGTGTTCGCCGGAGTGACAGCCAGGATCAAACAGCTCTCTCTGCTGATGAACTGCATGATCATGTCTCTGATTTGCTGCTCGATGTCCGCAGGTTGGTCTCCAACCGGCACCTTGGTTATCCCAGGCAGGTCGATGAGGGTCAGGTTCAGCACTACACAATCAGAGGGATGCAGGAAATCAGCTGGACGAGTCTCGTGTCACTCTGACCTAGAAACCACCTTCTAAGATTCTGTTTATCTGGGTTAGCTCCCAACGGTTCCCACACAGCCGTCTAAAGCTGCAACATAAATAACCTCTAGTTCTGGATCTGAGAGCTGATCAGGGATCTGGTCAGATAACTGATCTGGGAACTGGTCAGAGAGCTGGTCGGGGAACTGGTCAGAGAGCTGGTCGGGGAACTGGTCTTGGGGAGAAGAAGGAACTCCAAAAAGTGGATAAATCTGCTCCGAAATGACCAGCAGCAGCCTCTCTTCCCTGGAGAGCGTTCCCACCAGCAGAACCAGAACCAGACTAAAGAAAATAAGGATGGACCCATCCCATCAAACTCGTTATCTATTCACCCTCCTTCCTTTAGGCAGAGGGCTGAGGGGCACCGGAGCCTGGACACCATTGCTGATATTCAGCTTTTTCCCTGAGACTGTGAGGCCTGTGGCGTTTGGATCATCATTCCCAGGACTCCCTTGTTTTTTTTAACTGGATCCAATTCTTTCTGACACAAGAATCTAGAACCATAAAAGGTCTGTTTGTGTCTCTCAGCAAAGAGGATGCCATTATTTTACTCATGCTGTTTTAAATACCTGACTTCTGTATTTCCTGCGTGATAAAATCCGGTGGACTAAAGACCAGCATATAATCCCATATGTTACCAGAGTTAGCAGCAGAACTGAAACAAAAGCAAAAGATGGAATATTTAACATCTTTCTCACTTTTCTCAGAACAAAAGGGAACAAATTTTCTGAACACGTCTCACAACATTGTTCACGCCTGCCTGAAATGGTCACCCAGTTTATGTGTCTGTCAGATATTCTCTGTTCCCTAAATCTTCAGCTTAAAACTGCTGGCAGCAGGTGCTGAAGCTGAGTAAACGACAGCAATCCTCTGATCAGGCTCCGTTTGGAAAGAAATGCATGAAAAATGCAGTCAGAGTTTTAGCAGCTACATTTTGTCACATTTAGCTCCTCATAACAATCAAAACAAAGTGTGAAATTCACCACATTTACAGAAGAAATTACAACCAAATAACAGTTTAAATATAAATAAATAAACATTTTGAAATAGGTCCAGATAAAGTCCCGTTACAGGGTTGATATCTACTTGTGGTGGTGAGACTAAACATGCAGCAAACTCAGACTGCTGGACGCTGAAGCAGGATGAGACCTCCTCTCTCTCTCTCTCTAGGATTTGTTCTCACTAGATTATTTTACAATCAGGGTCTTTGCTTTCGACAGCGTTAGAGCATGCCACACTGTTATAAACTGTTGTCGTTTTCTCTGCCATCCGACCGGATCACGTCTCCAAACCTGCATCTGTGGAAATCTGAGCTCTGTGAGAGGAAACTGAAGCCTCCAACACAGACTTCCTGCTGCCTGTTTGAGGCTCTCTGCATCCGCCTAAAGGATCCTCCACTCCTCCTCGTCTCTCATCATTTTAAAACATAATAAACGATCAAATCCATCTGCTGTGGAGCACCACACCCCCCTGCTCTTTATGCACCCCCACCCCCACCCCCAGAAATTCACCACCTTGCCCTTCAGGGTCAGCTGATTTCTGGACCCAGACTGAAGAGGACTTTTCTTTCACAAAATAAATAAGCAAATTGAATCATTAGCAGTTAATTCAAACTCTTCTCTACAATAAAGCAGCCATCTTTGCTTCCTGACCCTGGCAGCTCTTTAACCCTCTGGAGGCAGGCGTTGCAGAACATTACAACCTACCTATGGTTACTCCACGTACGTATTTCATGAGCATTTTTTAACTCAGATGTACCCCTGAAGGACTTAGTTGTTCGTCCTTTTATCAAAACTTTTTTTGAGCCTGAGAGGGTTACGCTGACTCGCGACTCGCCACGACTCGCCACTCGCTTTTGTAACTCAACAGTTAGAGGAGGAAAGCAGCGGCTCCGGCTGTACCGTGAGGGGAGTAAACCCGCAGGTTGATGGGGACGGGGGAGATCCCTTTGTTGGCCCCTGTGACCCGGTCGGTCTCCCCCTCGATTTCCTGACGCACCTCGTCAAAGTCTGTGAACTTCTTGCCCTTGCAGTGGAGGAATTCTGCCCATTCTGATGAGATGAGAGGAGAGATGGGAGATTAGTAACGGCCGTGCTGAGTGGAAAGTAAGGCCAGCGGAGGAGGGAATGAGCAGAAAAGAGGAAGAGTGTGCGTTTGTGTGAGTGCATAAATGAGTGTGTGTATGTGTGAAAATGTGTGTGTACCCACCAGCATTTGCACTGATGAGCTGCAGAACCAGAGGCCTGCGGGTGACAATCCCAGATCCACGAGGCAGAAAGTCCCTGAGACCAGAAATCATTAAATAAGACCACAAAAGAGGAAATGTGAGGGGTGAATAAGATATTTTAGTTCATTTTAAATGATATTTATAAACTTGAATTGAACTGAATTGAACTGAATTGAACTTTTATCTAATAACAAACGTTTTATCACGACTAAACATTTGAATCCATCAAACAGACACTGGCATTGATTCATTCCTGTTCCAGCTCTCAGTGAGAGTCGTGATGCTGAATAACGATCTGGAGAATTTTCTCAGGCTCCTCCCACTCAAAGGCCCAATGATGACATCAGAACAGACCTGGGCAAACGTTCACATCACTTTCATTAAACCTTGTTTTAGAATAACAACATATTCAATTCAATTTAATTCAGTTCAACTCAATTCAATCCAATCCATTTCAATTGAATTCATTTCGATTCCATTCGATTCGATTCAATTCAATTTGATTTGATTCAATCCGACTTGATTTGATTCGATTCGATTCGATTCGATTCAATTCAGTTCATTTCAATTCAATTCAATTCAAAACTGTTATTTTCCATTTTATATATATATATATATATATATATAATTGAATTGAATATGAATATGTTGTTATTCTAAAACAAGGTTTAATGAAAGTGATGTGAACGTTTGTCAAGGTCTGTTCTGATGTCATCATTGGGTCTTTGAGTGGGAGGAGCCTGAGAAAATTCTCCAGATCGTTATTCAGCATCACGACTCTCACTGAGAACTGGGACAGGAATGAATCAATGCCTGTGTCTGTTTGATGGATTCAAATATTTAGTCGTGATCAAACGTTTGTTATTAGATGAAAGTGGGTTTTGTTTCTATTCTGTTCTGATTGCTCATAAATCCACAAGAACCCTAATCTGAAGAATCTTATTTTCTCATTAACCAGCAGGTCCTGCCAGATTAAATGAGCACTCCACTCATTGGTTCACAATATAATTTAAATATGTCTTAAGATCAGACATTTGACCCAAATCTGGTAGAAATTAAATTTGAGAGCCACGTCGAGTGGAAGTTGCTGCTGGCTGATTTGTCTTGAACTGAGGGTGAAATGAAGCAGTTATGGTTAACTGCGGTCATTCTAGACAAAAACCAAATCTGAAAACAATATTTAAATCAAGCTAAAGGTAAAACACAAGAAAAGTCTCAGAAATTTTGTAATTTTTGTAAGAACTAAATTAATATCAGATTCTGCCAATAAAAGGGCTCTAAAACAATTCATATGTAAATATTTAGCATATTTACTGCAAAATCTCATTTTTCTGCTTTAGTGCTGCAACAAGGTTTTATTAATAATAAATTATTATACCTTTTGTTTTACTACAGCATCGGTAAGCTTCCTGTGCACAGATTATTAAGGATGCTTGTTTCAGCTGTGAGATTAGACGGTATAGGATCAATGAAAACATAAGTTGTCACACACTCCATGGAAACTTTCAGAGAATCCACAAATAGTGGCTTTCAAATGGTTTTGTTACTTTTTGCAAGTTTAGAAAAGCAGCAGATGAGACAGCATGTCTGATAATTTAGTTTTTCATCTGATAATATTAGAACATGTCAGTGATGTCTGAGGAGCTTTTATAAACACCGTATAACTAACACTACTGGAGAGGGCATGAATTACACAGAGGCTTCTGGGGAGCCCAGTAATGGGGGGGGGGGGGGGGGGCTGTTTTGCCTTAGCCCCCAAAACATTTTGTTTAGTTTTCTTGTTTTTATTTAACTATTTTCCTGTCTTGTCTGTCTCTCATCTTCCTGCATATCCTCTAAACTCTCCAGAAAATCTGCTGCCTGGATTCTTACTTTTTCACCTCATCAGTTACTTCTGAGCAGACCAAAGGGATCTCCTGACCACAACGCGGAGAGCGCGTTTCGATGCTGCGTCAGTGAGGTGAAATCACCGCAGCAAAGGTGATGAGCTCCGCAGTGGCAGAGCGCTTCAGGCACAAATAAGACAGAAAGTAGAGAACATGTGCGGACATGAACGATTGTGTGTTAATTATAATGTTTTTGGTTGCACCACTTTGAGAATGGACCGTGCGCTGGACGCAGCAGCCTGGAGCGCTGCACACCAACGATCATCGCTGTGCCGCTCTCTGTGCTCTCTGCTCAAAAGAGTCCATAAATGATATCATATAGGTAGAAAACTTATTTCCGGCTCCCCTGGATGTGTAGGATTTACAGCTCCCCCATAATTCGATCCCTGCTCCTGGATGAAAAACCGGACATTTTTATCAATGCAAGACCCCCCCCACCCCGGACAGAGAGTGAAAAGTGGACATGTCTGGGGAAAAGAGGTCACCCTAGTTTAATATAAAGTGGGAGATTACAGAAACAGTAATTTGCTCGTGCCCTTGCTGCCCTGGGCCCTTTAGAGTTTGTGGACCCCTGGGCAATTGCACAGTTGCACATATGGTTAATCTGGCCTTGCCTACAGCAGCAGTCTAGTGGTGAAACCTGGGTTGGTGGATGAACCTGTGATCTGATGGCCCAAGCCCCACCCCCACAGGTGCTGCTCTGACCCATCAAGCCTCCCTGATGTGTGGTGGTCGGCACCCACAAAGTGTTTGATCTTTGACCTGAAGCAGGAGAAGATGATCTGAACTCTGCAGACAGACATGCTCTGCAGGCCTCTTGCGTCATCTTGAAGGTTAAAAGGATTAACCTATTTCCGGTGGTCAGTTGTTACCTGCCGACAAAGTTCTCCAGCACAGAGCTCTTCCCCGCGCTCTGCCCGCCGACCACCGCGATCTGCGGTAGGTCCAGGTTGCAGGCCTGGCCAATGGAGCTGAAGGCATCCTGCAGCTTGTTGACCAGCGGGATCAGGTCCTCCATGCCACGATTTCCCATGGTGCCTTTGGTCGGTGGAGTCGGCTTCAGCGAATGGAGAGAGGAGGGAGGCGGGGGGAGGGAGGGGGACGTGGTGCTGCTATATTAGTCCGGGACTACCGTGGTGCTTGTTGATATGGTGAAGTCATCTAGCCGCGCAGCGCCCCGAGCCAGGCGAGGGTCAGACCGGACTGTGGATCGAGGAGAGGGAGAATCAGAGACCAGCAGGAGGGGGTGGGGGTGGGGGGTGTCACGGACAGACAGACAGGGACACGCAAATGCGCAGTCCCACGCACACAAACACTCAGAACCTCAAGGACATTTAGAAATAGACGCTCCATCTTCAGAAGGCCGCGTACACGAATAAAATTAGGATTCACGAACACATCACGCACTAGCTGGCGCGTGCATGTACGAACCCATTCCCCACAGAATCTAGTAATACAGAACATGTCACAGGATGAGATCAGAGCCAGGTTCTGTGCTTGGAGCTCACCTCTCCGTATCCCGCTCGGTCGCTGTCCGGTGCTGAAATCACGCGCAGCTCGAGCAGCGGAGGCGAAGCGTCGAGAGCCCGAGGAGGGTTCGGGTTCTGGAGAGTCCGGTCGGTTCTAGCAGCACCTGCTCGGGGTGGGGGTGGGGGGGAGCATCAGCCGAACGGGGACAGCGGTCGTTCTCTAGACGTCACAGCGCAGTTTCATCCCGAACGTAAATTGTCCTTTGACAGATTAATCATATTTACCTCTCTCTCTCTCTCTCTCTCTCTCTCTCTCTCTCTCTCTCTCTCTCTCTCTCTCTCTCTCCCCCCTAACGAAGCTGCGCCTGGCTGCAATACCGTACCGACTCGCGGAGGACCAATGAGAACAGCGGGTCGGGAGACGTGGCAGTGGAAAGGTGGCCTGTCATTGGCTGTTCGGGTACAGGTTAGGCCTACCTCGGCCCGCCTCCTGTTTACATCCCCGCCGCTTGTGCCGCTGTGAGTCATGCGGCACGGCTGCGTATCGCTGCAACGCGGGAGGAGGATGCGTCCCTCCAGATCTCCGCAGCAGAAAGCAGCTGTCGTAAATTTAACACCAGGCGCGCGCTCTGAGGCGCTCGTGATACAGCAGGAAACTGTCAGCTTAGAAGCGAGTGTATGCTGAGAGCCATTAATGAGCACTGGGCGGCGGGATTTGGGGTGTGGTGGTGGTGGTGGTGGGGGTGCTCAGTCCCAGACTGTCTCTGCTGTCGGATGGAGCCACTCATGTGAAAAGGTGCTGCCTGCAGGCCCACAGCTGGGCCGGCTGCTGGAAACGTGTCTCCCGTTGGCTGCAGACTCTCTTCTGATCTGAATGAAAGTCTAACAGGCTCCTAAACCCTCTGGCTGACATAATGAAGAGAGACTGGATACACGTCAGAGCTTCTCCTTGTAGGCACACAATGTCCTGAGTGAGATGAATATGTTCTTGCCATCAGCATAAGGTCCACTCGCAATGTCTCCAGCACTAGATGGCAGTAAGGGACTGATGCACTTCTGTGTTTCAGCTCTTCTCTGGAAAACAACGAAGCTATGTTTGGATGTTTGGCAGAAAAAAGAAAAGAAAAAATGTTATAATCGTAATCAAAGGAGGTTAAAGGCTTCCTCTGAGTTGTGAGTGAGTCTTTAATAATTGTGTGATTTCCTTCATGCTTTCAAATATATCAAACAAGGAAAGATTAAAACAAACAAGCCAGATTCCGTTTATCAGCAGGCTCCTGTTCTGTAGGACATATAACTCTGAACACACAGTCATAAGTATAAGATATGTGACGTTCACGAACGAATCAAATCTTTTGAACGGGTTTTCAAAGTGAACAATGAGAGCCGAGTCTCTTTAGAGAGCCGTTCATCTCGTCTTCCAGTAACAAACCTCCCCGGAAGTCGGTAAAGCGCACCGCTCAAACCCCGCCCACCGCTGTGACGGACATAGGAGGAACCTTCACCAACCCCGTGCGCCCTCACGGACGCCGCAGGAACACGTTGCTCTTAATACCACCCCAAATCTCTTGGCTTCACTTTGTTCAAAGGAGCCAGTCTTTTGAACGGCTCTTTGAGGTAAACGAGCGACTGATGAATGGCTGCCATGAAAGAGTCATAAATCCCATCACTAGTATAAGACAAGACAGAAAAACCACACAAGCAGTAAAAGAAGCACCAATAGAAGAAGGTTGTGCAGCCACCATCTTCACTGGTTACAGGACTATCGGTCAAAAAAATGAAAAACAAATTTTCTTTTAAATAGACTTTGTGATGTTCTGATATCTTGTGGAGTCTCATCCCAGACTTTAGTAAGAAGAAATACCTCCGTCCATCGGAGTTCCTGAAGGCGGTAAAGGCAAGGTCTGTTTGTGGTAGATCTAGAGACATACACAGAATGCCAAGGCCAAATGATGGATGTCCTTTTACAGTCTGATAGTAAAATTTCATTCCAAGACTTTTGCATCATTCTGAAATGACGATGCATTTGATTGTAGTAATGCAGAGCAGCGATGAGTCCAGTTTGACGACCTGTTTTGGATCTCGTAAGCTCTGTTATACGGTTTTACTTCAGCAAAGCAAATAGACGATCGGGGCCATGCTGATTAGAAAACAGCGGATCCCAAAGTCAAAGCTCATGATTTCCTGAGGTAGTCACCTGAAATGGTTTTCCAACAGTCTTGAAGGACTACCTCTTGAAGCTCGTCGAGAGAATGCCAAATGTGCAAAGCAGTGATCAGAGCAATGGGTGGCTTTTTTGAATAAAATAGAATATTAAACATGTTTTCACCTTTTTTTGTCGTCGTCGTCGTCTTCCTCCGCTTATCCGGGTCCGGGTCACGGGGGCAGCATCCCAACTAGGGAGCTCCAGACCGTCCTCTCCCCGGCCACCTCCACCAGCTCCTCCGGCAGGACCCCAAGGTGTTCCCGGACCAGATTGGAGATGTAACCTCTCCAACGTGTCCTGGGTCGACCCGGGGGCCTCCTGCCGGCAGGACATGCCCGAAACACCTCCCCAGAGAGGCATCCAGGAGGCATCCTGATCAGATGCCCAAACCACCTCAACTGACTCCTTTCGATCCGGAGGAGCAGCGGTTCTACTCCGAGTCCCTCCCGAATGTCCGAGCTCCTCACCCTATCTCTAAGGCTGAGCCCGGCCACCCTACGGAGGAAACTCATTTTGGCCGCTTGTATCCGCGATCTCGTTCTTTCGGTCATTACCCAAAGCTCATGACCATAGGTGAGGATTGGGACGTAGATCGACCGGTAAATCGAGAGCCTGGCTTTCTGGCTCAGCTCCCTCTTCACCACGACAGATCGGCTCAGCGTCCGCATCGCTGCAGACGCCGAACCAATCCGCCTGTCGATCTCCCGATCCCTCCTACCCTCACTCGTGAACAAGACCCCGAGATACTTAAACTCCTCCACTTGAGGTAGGACCTCTCTCCCGACCCGGAGTTGGCCTTTTTTTGTTAAGTACAGAACTCCACATGTGTCCATTCATAGTTTTGATGCCTTCAGTGAGAATCTACCAATGTAAATGTTCATGAAAATAAAGACAACGCATTGAATGAGAATGTGTGTCCAAACCTTTGGCCTCTACTGTATATATACCTGCGGGTCATCTTATCCTTCCAAGCCCGTCTACCAGAAGACATGTCTGATGTTTCTCCTGGGATCTGCTTTAGCCACTCCTCCAGTCTGGGGGTTAGTGCCCCGATGACCACGGCCTCCACTGATATCTTCACCCTCCAGGCTTTCTCAAGTTCTTCTTTGAGGCCTGGTATGTCTTTAGTTTCTCGTGCTCCTTTGTCCTGATGTTGCCATCACTTGGTATCGCCACATTAACCACAACAGCTGTCCTCTGTTGTTTGTCCACCACCACAATGTCCGGTTGGTTCGCCATCACCATTTTGTCAGTCTGGATCTGGAAGTCCCACAGAAGCTTGGCTCTCTCAATCTCAACCACCTTAGGGGGTGTTACCCACTTTGACCTCGGTGCTTCTGGTGCATACTCTGCACAGATGTTCCTGTACATGATGCCGGCCACTAGGCTGTGGCGTTCCATATAAGCTTTCCCTGCCAGCATCTTACTCTCTGCAGTTGCGTGGTAGATTGTCTCAGGGGCCTCTTTGCATAGCCTACACATAACGTCTTTTCTGGTGTGGTAGATCTTGGCCTCTGTTGCCTGGAGTTCAGGACCTGTTCCCACCACGATGAGTGCCTCTGTGCTGTCCTTCAGACCAGCTCCTTCTAGCCAATGGTAGGATTTCTTGATATCCACCACTCCAGTTATCTGTCGGTGATACATCCCATAGGGGTTTGTCCTCCCACGATGGTATTTCCAGCACCTCCTCCTCCGTTCACCATTGTCTGAGACATTCGGTGAACATGTCATCTGTTGGGGCCTTGTACTTGATGCACTTATGGATCTTGGATGTTTCATCCTGGGCAGCGGCTCTCACACTCACTAGTCCTCGACCTCCTTCCTTACGGCTACTGTACAATCTCAGGGTGCTGCACTTGGGATGGAACCCTTCATGCATGGTTAGGAACGTCCATGTCTTAACATCTGTGCTCTGTAATTCTGTCTTTGGCCAGCTTATTATTCCTGCACGATATCTGATTCTGGCAGGGCGTAGCTGCTTATTGCCCGGATCTTGTTCTTTCCACTGAGCTCACTTCTTAGGACTTGCCTTGCTCCTTCAGTTGCTAACGGCTGCATTCGTTGCTCTTATTTGGAGTGCCTTTGCTTATTTTTGGCTAAATCTTGTTTATTCATTTATGTATTTATTTAAGTTTTTACTTTCAGATTCAGAAAGGGCAATTCCAACAAATGTTTCCACTCCATGAGAAGTTTTAATTTGCTCTGATCATTTAACTACTCCGCTAAATCGTCAAAACTGGATTACATTAATCCTCTTTAATAGCTGGATCCATAAAATACCATTTGTCGTTTGTGAAAACTTTACTTGATTTGTCAAAGTTCAAAGAAGCAGATTTCAGCCTTTTTTTGTTTCTAAAGTAGAATGGTTCAAATCTCTGCATTTGAACCATCCTTGTGGGGAGCAGTGAGCTGCAGCTGTGGCTGCACTCGGGAACTATTTGTCAATTTAACCCACCAGTCCAGCCCCTTAAAGCTGAGTGTCAAGCAGGAAGGCATTGGGTCCCATTTTTAAAGTCTTTGGTATGACCCGACCGGGATTTGAACCTCAATCTGCCCTTCACTGGTTGGACACTACCACTAGGCGACTGAGAAGGTGTCACATTAGACCACATTAGAACAGACTCAGCTCGCCTAGACTCTTCAAACCTGGACGAGATTATTCTGCACAAAAAGCAGAATTCAAATATTCCAGATGGTGACTAGTGAAAGTTTAAAGGAGGTACTTTCTTTACTACATTTCAATTAGCAATCACAATAAACTTTACTCCATCCTCTTGATGTGGAGGAGCAGCAGATCTACTCTTCCCAAGTCCGTTCTTCCTGTTAAAAGGGAGTTTTCTTCTCCACTGTCGCTTTATGCTTGCTTGGTATGAGGATTGCTGTATAGTCACTGACACTAGTCAGTGACTTGATGCAATTTGCTGGGTTCCTCATATAGGAAACATTATTTCTGATTGGCTTAATGAACTGACCTGAATTGGAATGTTTATTATGTGAAGTGCCTTGAGACGACTCTTGTCGTGATTTGGCGCTATATAAATAAACTTGAATTGAACTTGAATAGAAATTCCGGATGACAGAGGTTCTCACTCTGTCTCTAAGGGAGAGCCCAGACACCCTGTGGGAA